CACAGCAATCGCTAGTTCCCATCCTTCTTTTGTTATCTCGGCGTGTCCAATCACTGCAGTCAACTCCGGTAGCTCTTGTAACGACCTTGCATATGTAATGAGAGTAAGGTCTTTGACGCCATCCTGTACTGTTGGTGCGCCAAGATTGATAAGATCAAGGTCTTCTTGGTCAAGTTCGCCGTTTGCAAGTAGACCTTGAGGTTCGGTACGAGGAAGCCACCCGGCCAACGATGCGACTTCAGCTAAAGCGGAAGATACAGGGCCGGACCAAGCGCGCAAAATACAAATGAGGGATTCAGTATCACCTTGAAATAGGCAAGCTAATCCCACTTCAACCATATCATTGCTATTGACATGAAAGTCGGTATTGCTTGCAGCTACAACCTCAAACGCTCGTTGAAGTTTGCGAAGATCATTTTCTGACTCATAATTGATGGCAGAAGCGCGAAGACTATTGATTGATCGCCCAGGAGCTAAACGTCTGTCGTCTTTCTCCTCATCATGCCATACAAGCAAACCGATAGTTGCTTCACACCAATCCTGGGAATTCTCAATGATAGGGATAGACTCTCCCATAACCAAACTATAAAGTGTAAGTAGGTTCTGGTAGATATTCCATGGTACCCTACTTGCAGCCCTCTTTGCAAGCTTACTATAATCTCCACCTAGACTACTCCTCATGGAAGACTTTCCAAATCGATTTGATTCAGGGCGAGAACCACCTTCTGCGAATTGTTTTAGATCCTCCGTAGCCTGTGATATCCGAAGTCGAAACAGTTTCCAGTCATTTCCATAGATATTCCAGTCTCCATTTATTGCCGGACATAGAGAGAGAACATTGGTCGCATCCTCTACTACCTTTTCAACATTAGTCAGGGCTACTCCAGTAAAGCCGTCCACCCCGCCTTGAGCATTGATATCGTCTGCATCGGACCACGAGTACCTCCAACCAGCACTTTTGAGGCAATTGATAACAGCTACAAGTCGCCCACGAACGACATTGTTAAGTATAGTAGTCCAGAATAAGTGATGAGAAGCAGGGCTCGGTCTGGTAGCCTGAACTTCCTCAAGTTGTTGTGGAAAAGGATCATGAAACTCCTCCAGCCAATCTAGCATGATTTTGGGAAGAGGCTTAACCACAGTTGTAAATCCCTTTTCCACCGGTTTTGAGTGATGGATTTGCATTGCAAGATGAGCCAGGTAATTAGCCTTTGCAAATTCTGAGGCTGCTGGACCTGGGCCAATGATCGAAGCGTACTCCTGCTCATTGTAGACTCCACTTCGTTCACTGTACTCCTGCCAAAGTGCCGTTAACTCGCTTGGTATGAGTGCCAAAGCACGTTTAAGTTTCTCTTCGTTGTCTGCCTTTCCCACACCCTGTTCGTAAAGTCTTGTAATTATTGCCTCCGTCTTCAATATTAGATCGTCTTCTTCATCTACGGCTGGTATTCCCTGGCTTTCAGACAGGGTTTTCGCAATTCCAGCAAAATCCGAAGCGGGCACCCTTTTACTTTGCGATTGCGCCAAAGATGCCTGAAAGTCTATCGAATCGTTCCCCATACTCTGTCGCATTTGTCCACCAGATGTGCTTGCAAACCGAACCGAATTACTGTGCTGATTGAAGATGTTGCGGTTCATTGACTTTGTTCCGCGATAGTCGTCAATGTCATCGTCCTCGTAGCTGGCATCTTCACTCTCCATATCTTGTTCGTCGTCATAAGAATCTGCGAAGCGATTGCGAGCCTTTGTATTAAATCCAGCATCTTCTTCATCCTCATAATCCTCTTCCTCCTCGCTTCCCGATGGCGATCGTAAATTCCTTTGCGACTTTTGAGATTTGTTGCCAAATACCGCTCTCTGTAGTTTTGATGCCGGTCGTGTGAAGAGAGGAGAGGAGAACTGTGGGCTCTGGAGCTCGGAATGACCGAAGTCTGATTGGGAGTGACCAAATTCCGATTGCTGAGAGTACTCTGAGTATCCAAAAGCCGACTTGTTTGGTGTTGGGCTTCGCATAGTGCTCTCCAAAAATGACGATGGCGCAGGTCCAGCGGGAGTATAAGAGCCGGCCGATGATGGAGGGGCTCCAGCAGGTGTAGTCGATGGATTGTTTGAAGTTCCAAAACTGAATCGACTATTGGTGCTTCTATTTGGTGTTGAGGGAGGGCTTGAGGAATACTCAAAGCCAGGCATCTTGCATTTAGCTGAACGTGTTCGACAATGGTAAAAGGTTGTACTTATTATGCAATTTTTTTACTCAAAGCTGTATTCTTTAATTAACCAATTTGAGCTTTGTCGGCAATGCCAATGAAGTTTTTGTATACAATTAATACCTAGGTATTCATTTACAAAAGTTCATCTACAAACCCCTGTCCAACCATTTTCAAAGAGCTATCGCGATAACTAGCGCAGAACCTTATTTCACGCGTCGACAATAAACAATTTCCAGAACGTCAATAATTGATATATTTTGGAGTCTAATTGCAAAATATTGCGCCTCACAACTGTATTGTTTCTTTGATGCTTCAGTAATGCCAAGGTAACCAATTTTCCCTTCCTCTATACATCATGGCTGCTAACATTGTTTTGTTAACAGAGAAATAATTACGGTTCAGGCCGGCCAGTGCGGCAACAGCAGTCAGTATACCCCTCGTCTGGCCATACGAAATGGATGAAATTCTAATTGGGAGTTTGGGTAGTTGGTAGTCAGTTCTGGCAGCAGTTATGTCAGGAACATGGCATAAGTCAAGATGGTAATCTTGAGGAATTTGCGACGGAGGGAGGAGACAGAAAAGATGTATTTTTCTACCAGTCGGACGACACACGATATATCCCCCGAGCCATTTTGATCGACTTAGAGCCCCGTGTATGTGCTTCTTGAGCTTCTATGCTATGTGTTGGTATATTTAGGGTGTTAATTTGTGGTTATCCAGGTCCTCAATGGTATCCAAACCGGTCCGTACAAGAATATCTACAATCCCGAGAACTTTTTTGTTGGAAAGAATGGTTCAGGTGCCGCAAACAATTGGGGAGATGGATACCAAACGGGTGAATCTGTGCATGAGGAAATTATGGAAATGCTTGATCGAGAGGCCGACGGTAGTGACTCACTTGAGGTGGGTAATCGACCAATTTACACGAACGATGAAGCTAATCTAAGCAGGGCTTTATGATGTTACACTCCATAGCAGGTGGTACTGGCTCAGGATTGGGATCTTTTCTGCTCGAAAGACTGAATGATCGCTTCCCTAAGAAGATTATACAAACATACTCCGTGTTCCCAGACACTACCAATTCTGGCGACGTTGTTGTACATCCATACAACAGTTTACTATCCATGCGAAGATTAACACAGAATGCCGACTCAGTTGTTGTGCTTGATAATGGAGCACTGTCTAGGATCGCTGCGGATAGATTACATGTACAGGAACCTTCGTTCCAACAAACTAATCAGCTGGTCGGTTTTCCCCCTTTTGGAGCCAGAGCTTGCTTTATTAATATGTACAGGTTTCTACCGTTATGTCAGCTAGCACCACTACACTCAGATACCCAGGATATATGCACAATGATCTCGTTAGCATAGTTGCCTCACTCATTCCAACTCCTCGTTGTCATTTCTTAATGACGGCCTATACCCCATTCACAGGAAACAATGTTGAACAGGCGAAGACGGTACGGAAAACTACAGTTTTAGATGTCATGCGAAGACTGTTGCAGCCAAAGAACCGCATGGTCTCTACAATTCCTGGCAAGAAGAGTTGCTACATATCCATATTGAACGTCATTCAAGGAGACGTTGATCCAACTGATGTTCACAAAAGTCTTCTCCGAATTCGGGAGCGACGGCTTGCGACATTCATTCCATGGGGTCCAGCAAGTATTCAAGTTGCGTTGACCAAGAAGAGTCCATATATACCCATGAATCACAGGGTCAGTGGTCTTATGCTGGCAAATCACACAAGTATAGCAACAGTAAGTGTCTTTAGAGCTATTTTGCCCCAAAATATTGACATCTTATAGCTGTTTAAACGTATCGTGAGACAATACGATGGAATGCGCAAGCGTAATGCCTTCATGGAGGGTTACAAGAAAACTGCACCCTTTGCTGACAATCTCAATGAATTCGATGAAGCCAGGGAAGTAGTAACAGATCTTATTGCAGAGTATGAAGCCGCAGAAGACGCAGATTATCTGAGCCCTGATGCTGGAAATGCTACTCCAGCGGGAGAAACAAGTGATAGAAGGCTTCCTTAATTGTCTGCACATTTACAGCAGATGCGTATGTTAGCATTGTTGGAGTCGAGGATTAGGATTTAGGATGGGATGAAAGGTGTGCCTAGGAGCTGAGGGTACATCGAGTGTCCTATCTACTGGCGCCTAGATATTGAGGACATTGCAATTGGCGTTTTTTACAAGGATGATTAATGATACCAAATTATGAAGAAGTTTCTAGTATTTTTTTCATAACCCTTTTTTACCATCGAGATTTCCATCTGAGATCGAATTCTACCGAATCAAATAATTCAAATTGACGTTGGTTTCGGTTTGTTCCCGGCGGTACCTAGTCTCTTAGTCATGTCATAGGAGTTTTTGCCCCACCAAAGTTTGATGCTTGACATGATCGACATCATAATTACATCACATCTTTTAGAGCCCCTCAATTTCTCAATTATCTGATGTTCCGGAGCGAAATCTCCAAACTCAACAAGGAATAATTTAGCTATGCCTTGGTACAGTACCTGAGTAAGGTGGAGTATGATTTTGTCATTGAACATGACTTCGAGAGTTCCAACGCCTTTTTAATCCCCCGTTTTCCCCCTCGTTTTTCCTTCCTTCTTCATACTACAAACAAACATCACACACAAGATACCAATTAGCAACGAATACGCTCACAAGTAACTACTCTACCTCAGAACCAGACAGTGAGCTTTCCTTCAAAACCTTTCACTCGGTCTCATCTAACAAACTCTAGAACACATACAACCCCACACACGTATATCAACATGCCAGAACAACAATCCAAAGCCGACCTCATCGCTGAGCGTCAAGCCAACCTCCCTCTCCCAGAGGATCCTCCTGTCGCCAGCGACTGGAACTCTGCCGATGCTACCAAAGTCAACGTTGGATCGGGAAGAGATGTAACTAGCCAAACCTCAACTGGCAATGCTCAACAATCTGGATTGGAGGGTGCTGCTACTGGAGGAAGCGGTGTTAGAGAAGCTGGTGGCGTTGATATGAGCAACATTGGACGCGAAGGTGTTGAGAAGAAGAACTAAGTGTTGGACCATTATGAGAATGGGTGTATTATATTTTTTAATCATTGGAATGATTGATGACGGTTATGAACGAAAATAGCATTGATGGACGGGATGGGTGGGATGAGATGCTGTATTATACGCATCGTGTATGAAATAGACATGAACTAGCTCTGGAAAGGCTACGAAAATACAAAAACTTCACCAAACCTTTTAGGCGTACTAATTGGAAGTTGCATTGTGTCCAATTCGCATTTCTAAACGAAATGTTGATTCATCAAAATCCCTTATTGTTCCTCGAATACTCGAATATTTTAATTTTCTGGATGATTCGGAAGCTGGTCGCATGAATTGCATATACATCTGGGAAAGACTCGAGAGTATTCATCTTCACGTGAATACCCCTCTTTCAAGGGCGTGTATTCCTGCCTTGATAATAAGTCTTCTGAATTAGATAGAGATCAATCAACCATTATATTTCCTCCACTGCAGCTGGTACTGAAACCTCAAACTTATTGCCTCTTTATCACTCGACAACAGCCACAACGGGTAGTAAGTATATGGGAACAGCCAACCGCGAAGCAGATAGACTGCTTGCTAATCTGATATCAGCTGATAAAACACTATGATTCTTACAATACAATGGCCATTGTGAATAAGCATCTTCAAAGCTCGGGGCCCTTAAAACCTGGGGAAGGATTTCGATGTTTGACATGCAACCAAATGCTCAACCGGATGAAAACATATTTAGTTGGACATTCAGCATCAATTTTTAAATATTCATAGATCCCTCTGCTTAAATCGACCCTTCCGTTTCACACTAAAGATTTTCGAAAGCATGTGGAAAGTATGTCACCAAGAAATACGAGGGGGCATCATTCTTATATGAAGCACGTGATGAATTACCCCTCAATTTCCAGACGCTTATCGCTGACGTCGTCCAAAATGTGCAGAAGTGCCACCACTATCTTTAGAATCTCCACAAGTCTAACATTCCTATGAGTTGATTGACGGGAACGTGCCCGGCGCCATACTTATGTAGTAGAAGTAATAACTAGTAGAAACAGGAAAAGATTTGATTAATGTGATTCTTTGAGTTTAAGAATGATGTCATGAGAGCGCCAGCTGTATATGTTAGATTTGAACAAAGCACTTCCAGGAATGAATTAAACAATCAAACAACTTGTCTGTATCTTCAAATTGCGAAGAAATAATTGCTTGAATCTTCTAATATCAAGTTTATAATCATCAATTCACATTCAAAATGTCTGGAGCTGGTACAAAGGTAAATGCTTGCTTACAACATTTCATGTTCAACTCCCTGTAGCTGCACCTCGAACTGCAAGTCAATCATGTAATTTCTATTCGATGGGGATCGTGTTGGGAATTCTTCGCCTCACACGACTCAAGTTCTATGATAATTGCTAACACAACTTGTAACAGGTCAAAGATCCACACTCAATCATAAAAGAGGGTGCCGGAGCAATAGCATCAGATTCTCTTGCAGCCGAATCTACGAGAGCTGGCGGAGGCTTCGCTGGAAATCGCGACGGCGAACCATTAGGCGTTGCAGGCGCAAACTCCACATTTGCAAATACCAATACATCTGGAGCTACTCGTCTAGATCCTGCTTCCGATGCTGAAGCACGAATGGCGACTGAAGATTGGGCGGAAGAGAAGATACTTGGAGCTACTGGTTCATACCAGAAAGATGCTGGTAACCCCAATGTAAGGAATAGCACAAGTAATGCGGGGGTCGCACCGAGTTATGTCTCCAATCAATACCAGTCTGGCGGCAACCCGAAAGGAAAGAATTTGACGGAAGGGGGATTTGAGAGTAATGATGCAAAGAATGCCAGTTTTACTTCAGAAATTGGATCAAAGAATGATCCGAGTCGACTTGCTGAGCAGAAGATGCAGAGAGAGAATGCTCAATCAGCGAATGATGCAGGCTTCCCCAGGGATAACAACGCAACGGGTGGAACTCCATATGATGTTTTAGGTGGTGATACCGCAGCTTGAGAGATTACATTTGATAAGTTCAGGAAACAGTCGAAGGAAATTGTTTGGAGATCGCTTTAATGACATGATTTGATTGAAAATAAATGAGTTTTGTATGTGATTCTACTTCTGATGCCTTTGATTGTTTTATTATAGACTTCATACATTTGCATACCCATCGAATGACCCATATGGTATCACGTGATTCGACATGCCGAAGAGGAAATTAGATCAAGCCGTTACTTCCTTTGATTTTCGAAGACTGACAAGACTTCATGGCAGGAGCACTTGTCTCGCTGACTTAAGACTGAATATTATTGCTCAGTAAGAGATTGATTGATTCACTGTGTCCATATGATTCAATCGATAGAATGAATGAAAACAACACTCAAAACTGATCTGCTCGGACTTGCCCTACAAGAAAATATGCCTGAAATTTAAGGGTATGACTGAAAGGATTCGATCAATTCAAGTCAACCATTTCCTATCAGGATCAAGTACTTGTTCTTCCCTTTTTCCATCAAAGAAATTTCTGAAGTCCTCAAATTGTTGTGGTAGAAGAAATAATTTTTCGAGTTCTAGGTCAGAGTCCATTATTTTTGGAAGTGGCGCTAGTACCACCTCGCTTAGGAAACCTCCCACCACAATTTCTCAAATATTTCCAACCAGCACTGTTACCGTTGCCATTTCGCCCATCCTTCAATTCTCCGTTCACCAGATCAATACTCCAACATGGCGGAACAACTTATCCTCAAGGGCACCCTCGAGGGCCACAGCGGCTGGGTCACCTCTCTCGCAACTTCTCTTGAGAACCCAAATATGCTCTTGTCTGGTTCCCGCGACAAGTCCCTCATCATCTGGAACTTGACCCGGGATGAGACTTCATACGGATACCCAAAGAGATCTCTCCACGGACACTCCCACATTGTTTCTGACTGTGTATGTTAAAACTCACTCAAAAATCGGTGGCTCTGTGAGACGAGCGCAATCTGCAAATTACAATTGAATGCTGAGACTTTGATTTATAGGTGATCTCTTCCGATGGTGCTTACGCTCTTTCCGCATCCTGGGACAAGACTCTCCGCCTTTGGGAGCTTGCCACTGGTACCACCACCCGCCGATTTGTTGGACACACCAACGACGTCCTCTCCGTTTCCTTCTCTGCCGATAACAGACAAATTGTCTCCGGATCCCGCGACCGTACAATTAAGTTGTGGAACACTCTCGGTGACTGCAAGTTCACCATCACTGAGAAGGGACACGCCGATTGGGTTTCATGCGTTAGATTCAGCCCTAACCCACAAAACCCAGTCATTGTCTCCTCTGGATGGGACAAGCTCGTCAAGGTAAGCTACAATCAGTCTTTATGGTACTTCAAATTGAAGTTGTGCGAAGTTTTCATGATGTTCTACAAAGTATTTGCTACTTCAGAGCTGGGGGAGACCTTGCCATGAGACAATTAACACTATTTTTCTGAAAATTGTCTTCGCACAACTCATTTGGTACCACAATCACTTACTCAGAAAATGCTAATATTCAATTCTTCAGGTCTGGGAGCTCAGCTCTTGCAGATTGCAAACCGACCACATCGGACACACCGGTTACATCAACACCGTCACCATCTCCCCAGACGGATCCCTCTGCGCTTCCGGTGGAAAGGACGGAACCACTATGTTGTGGGACTTGAACGAGTCTAAGCACCTCTACTCCTTGAACGCTGGTGATGAGATCCACGCCCTCGTTTTCTCCCCCAACAGATACTGGCTTTGCGCCGCCACCTCCAGCAGCATCATCATCTTCGATTTGGAGAAGAAGAGCAAGGTTGATGAGTTGAAGCCAGAGTTCCAAGCTGTTGGCAAGAAGAGCAGAGAGCCAGAGTGTGTCAGTTTGGCATGGAGCGCGGACGGACAAACTTTGTTCGCAGGTTACACAGATAACATCATTCGGGCTTGGGGTGTTATGTCGAGAGCGTAAGGGGGTGGTTAAACAGGCGTGTGTCAATTCATCTTGAGGTTTTACGGCTTTTCCGGGGTTTGTGGTTCCTTGTCGATTGGCAGGATGTACTTCAAAAACATGGCATAGCAAAAGGCTCATGGACATGAAAAATGCAAACAACGTAAAAAGTAATTTCCATGCATTATGATTATCTTGCCGTGCGTGTGAAAATGCTATGTTGACCCAGGTATTAATGAGTGATTGTACATGATTCGGTGTGCATAAGCTGCGGGGAACAATAATCTATAGGTAAGCTAGTGCCACTTTAACATGGACTTTCACGGGCGCGTCCCCCGAATTTTAAACGCGTTGTGTTGAAAGCCACTTTGTGTGATGATCATGAACCAAACCTATTACTTAGAGTCAATTCCCACTAATTGCTCAGCATGGTTGCTTGCCCCATTTGCGAAAAGCAAGTGAAAGCTAAAGACATTAATAGTCACATTGATTCGGGATGTGAAGACTTCATTGACACATTCTCTCCTCCACTTACTCAGCAGAATGCATTTGTTTCACAGAAACCAACCTCCACGCAGAAGCCTTCCGTCTCCAACTTCTTTTCGACACCTGCGACTAAGAAAACAGCATTGCATCCTACCCCAAAGATAGAACCCAATTCGACACCCAATTTTCAACCGAAAGTGCAGAATGGAAATACAACTGCGAAGCGGCAAGAAGATGGGAGTGCGAGTGGATCCCTGACTGTTCAGCGGAAGAGATCATTTGACGATGCCGAGACAGAGATGCAGTGGGAAAACGAGACTGTTGATCCGCCGGCGAAGAAGACTAAGACCAATGCCTTTCAAAAGGTCGCTCCGCTAGCAGAACGAATGCGTCCGAGAAGTCTAGACGAAGTATGTGGACAAGAGTTAGTTGGGCCACATGGAGTTTTACGCAGTCTCATTGAACAAGATCGTGTCCCATCAATGATACTATGGGGTGGCGCTGGCACGGGTAAAACTACAATTGCACGGTGTGTGGCTGCGATGGTAGGAAGTCGGTTTGTCGAGATCAATAGTACGTCTACTGGGGTGGGGGAGGTGAAGAAGATATTCGCTGAGGCAAGAGGGGAACTGGGGCTTACTGGAAGAAAGACGATAATATTCTGCGATGAGATTCATCGATTTTCGAAGAGTCAGCAGGATGTATTTCTTGGGCCTGTGGAAAGTGGGCAGGTTACTTTAATAGGAGCTACGACCGAGAATCCGTCTTTCAAAGTCCAGAATGCTTTACTGTCTAGATGCCGGACATTCACATTATCGAAGTTGACGGACGATGACATATTGAAGATATTAGAGAGGGCTTTGAAGACCGAGGGGCCAAATTACACCCCTACAGATCTTGTGGATACAGAGCTCTTAAAGTATCTATCTGCCTTTTCTGACGGTGATGCTCGGACGGCCCTGAATCTCCTAGAGCTAGCCATGGGCTTGTCTACAAGACCCAATGTTACTAAGGAAGATATCAAAGCGTCCCTTACCAAGACGCTGGTGTATGATAGAGCTGGCGATCAACACTACGATACTATCTCTGCTTTCCACAAGTCAGTAAGAGGTGGTGACGCAGATGCTGCTCTATACTACCTTGCAAGAATGCTTCAATCCGGAGAAGACCCTCTCTACATAGCTAGGCGGATGGTAGTTATGGCATCAGAAGATATAGGACTGGCCGACAACACCATGCTAACGCTCGCAACCAGCACATACACCGCGTGCGAGAAAATCGGTATGCCTGAATGTCGAATCACAATGGCTCATGCTACTGTGGCTCTGTGCCTAGCCCCCAAAAGTACCAGAGCATACAGAGGATTAAACAACGCATATTCTGCCCTGAGGGAACCTGGGGTAGCTAGTTTAAGCATCCCTATTCATTTGAGAAATGCACCTACGAAATTGATGAAAGAGTTGGGGTATGGAGATCAGTACAAATACAATCCTAATTACAAGGAGGGTAGAGTAGTTCAAGAATACCTACCCGACGAGTTGAGAGGCAGGAAGTTTTTAGAGGACAGGGATTTGGGGACAGAAATTGATCCGGGTGCTTGGCCTTGAGGTCAAATAGATGATTGTATTGGATATACCTGGTGCATTGCGATGGTGTTCAGGTCTATGATTGGCGTTACAACAGGTCCATACTCTTTTATGAGAATTGTTGATTGAAAGTATGTTGTTTTGGTAAGGTGTATGTAAAGTTGCGCATGAACAGCAACGGTTTATGTAGATTTACATATATAAGGAAATACCTCTCGCTCCTGCAAGAGTCCGTCCTTCATTGAGCTACCGGCTCCCAAAATTTGATCCTTTTGATTGATTCAACCCCAGAACTCCTCGCTGATAATGCATTCCACCGCCCATACCTGAGATTCCAAACCCAAATTATTATTCGTATCTTTTTTGTTATAATCCATTTCCCTACGACTCCAACGACACCAAATCCTCATCCATAGGCGAAGGTGGAGGCTGCGGCTGTGGTTGCGTTCTTTTTCTTGCCGGTGCACCTTTTCTGAAATACTGCTTCTCTGCATTAACTACCATACTGCGATCATCTAGCGCCAGCCTTGTATTTGCACTCCCACTTCCACTACCAGAATTTGTAATTCCCAGTTCCAACATGGTACGTTCCCACAACGCATGCCGTTCCTTACTCTTTGGATCTCTACCAGCCATTCGTTTCATTTCCCTATCTTTGCCCACCTTTCCAACCTTCACCAGACGTCTCAGAGCCTCCTCCCCCATCTTGGCATTCTCCGCAGCCTTCTCCCGGATTTTTCGGGGATCAGTTAAGCGTTCGCTCTCTTTGGGCGTCCATTTAAATGTATGTTTACTAGGAAAGGCGGGGAATCCTTTCGGTATATATGATTTCTGTGCCTTTTCCACCTCACCATTGAGCTCGACTCCTAATATCCTTATGACATTCTTCGTCGTAGGATCTTCCTTTGGTATAGGTTCCAATTCTAATTCAAGCTTCGGTACGGAGATTGGAGGTCGCAGATGCGGTTCTAACGAAGCGAGAGGTAATTGATACCTATTAAACGCGTACGATATATCGAGGGGTATGGGAATATTTCTTCTCGCATTATTCATCGAAGAAGTGACTTGAGCAAGTAGATGCGTCGTATCTTAAATCTCGTCAACAAAAGGCTTCTCAGCCCACAGGTGAGGATATACAAACAAGTATCGACTTCGGCACACATGGCCTCCAACGCTTCTTCCGTCGCCCGGTCAAACCCAACGTGTTCCAATGTCTGACAAATCGTTCGTCGCAATAGCATCCGTACGTCGCTGTCGAAAAGTGAAGACTCCATTTTATCGGGACGCGACAATTCGAGCTCGGGCGGAGGGGTTTGTGGGAGGACGGGCGACATGCGTTGCCTTTTTCGATAAGGCTCCTCCATGTCGTCGTCGCTGGATGTAGGTGTCGATCGTTTTCGTGACACTGGGACCATGATCGCAATGCTTTTCTGTATGGATGTTATTTTTTCGCGCCCACAGCAAGCTTTAAATAAATAAATCGCGGGTATGGGTGTGGAAAGAATGATTCATGACCGTAGTGTGAATTCAATCGAATGAACGTTCCGCGTTATCGAAAGCGTAAATTACTGCTTGTGAATACCAAAGGTTCAGAAGTATCGATCACGTGGGGCAATCGAGTTGGCAGTTGCGGATTTAGCGTTGCTGCCTCAGGTATTAAGAGCGCGCTAAAATTGGACGCTCGGCGAGCGTGGGATGCATCATGCGATTTTGAATCTGAGCAAGCAAATAAGAGATACAGAACCTGATATTCTTCCCCTCGAAAGAAATATACAAAATGGCTATCAAACCAATTACTGGAGTACGTTTTCCTCTCTATCTGTGGTGGGAAAAGTGAGGGGCTCGGAATTGGAGTTGGAAAGTTGGAAGGACATAATCGAATTAATTGGGTGAATGGAATTGGAGAATGAGCTGACCTTTTGTACTGTAGATGCTCCGAAGAGGGCTCGTCCTTGACCTTAGCGTCGCTTTCGGTATGTGGTGAACGGATGTCTCGTGGAATGCGAAGGGAGTGGGAGGTTGAATGGAGGGAGAGAATCTGCGGATATCGCAGAGGTAAAGCAAAGCAGTCAACTAACACGACCCACCAGGTCTCGGAACCACATTCGGATATGCTTTCTGGTAAAATTCTCCATGTTCAAACGGCGTCAAGGCACATGGTATTAACATAGTAACAGGTACGGATACCACGTCCCAGCCGTCCGCAAGCGCGATGCATTCTACGCCAAATTGGAGGATCAGAGAGCTGCCAATGCTGCCGCATAAGGAATGAGAATAGACAAAAGGACATAGATTGGACTAGGTGTCTCGGTATGGTGGATGGTTGAAACAGGCAGAGGTGGAGGGAAGGAATATTGCATGCTGGGAGGCTGGAATGGGTAGGCAAGCTGTACATTACCAATATCGATGATGCTTTGGCAATGCATGCATTTTTTTCTCTTCGGAACTGTGAGAAACTCTTTTGGGAGAGGTATGTGTTTATTTGGAGAAATTATGTGATGGGCGGATGAGACCTTGGATATCTTGCAACGAAAAGCAGAATCTGGGTGCACTGGTTGTCATGAGAAATGCATTGGATATTCTTGGCCTATTTGTTTGTATGGAGGCATCGAGATTGGGAACATGCGCTTGAAATATACGTTGTATCGAAATCAAGGTGCTGGGTGGTAAAGCCGTACCATGCCCTTTTGATTGATTACTTCATTCAAGCAAAGCAAAGGTTTGATATTCTTGCCATCCCCATGATATGTCGAACAACATTTATTATTATTACACATACAGCACATAAAAAGCCCTCCCAACTCAAGGCTCTCTCCATGTTCAAATTGATGACACGCATTGCGCATGAGCATGGCATCCCATCACGTGTACCATACTCCATCTGAACGACCATTGTAGAGCATAAGCCGAAGTAAATTCACCATCACCAACATTTCCAATGCGTTTTTCATCTCCTCCCTCTACTCCAACTTCCACACAACTTCCCCACCCTTCTCCCCCAACCCTCTCCATCCCTTCCCCCTAACAACCTCTTCTCTCCTCCCCTCTCCTCCAACATCTCCTCCAACACTACCCCCCATTCCAAACGCCCCAACCTCTTCCCTCTCCACCCTCAACCACCCTCTCCACCCCATCACCACCTCCGGCCTCCCCATCCCCTCAAACTCCCCATATCCACCCCCTCCCTCCCCTCAACCCCAAAAAGTATCGTCCCTCCAAACTCCCTCCCATAACTATCATGATCCCCATACAAACATATACTCTTCCACCCCCTTCAACGTGCTTTCCAGATTCTGAGCTGAAGGTCTAAAGATATGAAGATGTTTGAGATCCGACTTCTTCAATCTCTCCTCCTGTCCAGCTTCAAGTCTCTCATCACCATCTTCTTCTTCCTCTTGAAACGCTAAAAACGAAGGAGAAAATCTCGAATGCACATCGATTAATACAACGCACTTTCCTACCTTTCCATCCTCATTACTCAGAAGTGTGGTTAATATATGAATTAGCAGCGGCAAACTGTCTCCCGAAACAGACAGTCTCGGTTGATTTTGATACGAATGAGACCACAGTTCATCTAGAGAACGTATATGAGTTCTCGACGGACGGGGATCCAATGTATTTGTAACAGTTGTTAGAAGCTTGTGTGATTTATCAGCTTCATCAATTTCTTGTGTGAATGCAGGTAGATGCAAGGAAATGCAATGAGGGAGGGGAGATTCGTTATCGATAAGCAATGAGATCGAATATCCTTCCTACATACCGATTCCAAACTCTCTTCGCTCTCATCAACTTCTCGTAATAATCTCCCGCCGTATATCTCTTCGCTAGATCTTATATCCATTTTATCTTCACTCTCTCCTCTCAATCTTCAATCTTCAACCCTCAACCCTCAATCCTTCCCAAACAAAGAACAAATGACACCACCCCTCCTCCCCTTCCCACCCAGTGCCCTCCCCTTCGAATCAACCCTCACGTCCAAGTCCCAACACCGAAAAGGCTTCGACGGGAATCTCAAAAACTGTGAATTACTGGAATTATGGCAATACAATTGCGATTTGCAAAAGGATAGGGATGGGAAGTTGGGGGAAAATATTGTTTGTAGACCTGTGGAACGGCTTTTTCGTCGGTAAGTTTTTATTCTTTATTTTCCTGGGGAGAGATTGGAAAGTAGTGGATATTGCGTGTTTACCGGAGGATGAGTGATGGATGTTGATCGGTTTGTAGGTGTAAGATCGAAAGGGAACTTTTATGGTGGAGACGACGGTTTGGGAGGGAGAAGGAAGTGCAAAGTGATAGTCGCGGATTTGGGGTTGGATGCTTGTGGTTAGCGTGAACCCTTGCGTGGTGAGAAGATGATACTGCGAATTAAGATTGGTAGACGGAGAGGGCATTACACATGATGAAGTCGATGATAAAATTGATTGAGTTTTACATAAAGTATTCACATTTTTGCTTTAGATGCTGTGCGTATTTTCAATTCTCTACAGACCGTGAGACATTTGTTTGTCCCCAAATGCTTCCAAACGCCACCATTTCATGACCCATCTTTGATAGCAACTCCTTAAGCATTTCATCATCACGCCCGATACCCAATGTAGAAATTACAACCTCGAAATCGCATCCAATAGCTCTTCGATCTCCTTGCTCTTCCTCTTGCCCTTCTCTTCATCTTCCGCTGCCAAGGAAGAGTGGTCCTCACTGTCCTCTTCTTGCAAAGACTTATTATCCAAGGTATTAAGTTTCTGCCGCACCGCACAAATCTTAGCTTGATCCTGCAGCGCCTCTAGATTTTCGTTTGGGAGAACCTTCCAAAAACTCTCCGTCTGAACCATCATCTTCCAATAAACTGCTAAATTTTCATGTGCCATACGATCACCCCACACCTTACTGACCAACTCAAATACCGGCATTATTGCAAAATCTGCAAGACCAATTTCATCGCCTGCTATGTATTTTGATTCTTTGGCGTAGATATCCCATTTAGCGAGTTCGGCACGGAAAGGCTTCACGCTAAAGGGAACTGTTCTCCAGATCTTGAGTAGAGTGTTGGCTTCTTCGAAACGAGTGTAATGACGGGCGAAATGACCCGGAGATTTACAGTTCTGGGGAGGTTTATAGATAGCTTCAATATAGAACATGATTGGCATGCATCCTTCGACAGTAGTTCTGTCATGGTCATTATCAATAAACTTGATCACTGGTGTCTCTGGTACAAGCGAATCGTCAACTTCAAGACCTTCTCGTTTCCAATGGAAAGGTGGCGAAATGGTTGCTTCTATCCAAGGGATGCCGTAGTGGTTGAGCATAAACTTCACCCGGTGGTCGGCGACGGGATCTCCCGACAAAAAAAGCTTTTTATGATTCGACATGTGCAGTACGTCGAATCCTTTGCCGTAGATCTCCTGCCAGTCGAAATCGCTGTCATGATTTTCTTTCCCGAAAGCTTGTAGCATTTCTTGGGTTTGCGGTGTATCTCCATTGATGACCTGCACGGCGTCTTCTTTCCTCTTGGCAGTTGCACCTTGACCCCAAATCTTTTGTTGACTTTTATCCAGGTATGTACCAATATGTCTGAATGTTAATGATATACGTCCGCAATCGTAAGCCAATTCAGCCTTGGATTTCTCACTTGCCATTCTCTTATCTGGTCGAATACCATGTAACCACTTCTTATTGGTTTCCAAGCCCATCTTGCACAATGAATTATGTGGAAGAGCTGCCCTGCAAGATTCTCGAGGGGCGCTCTGAGATTCTGCACATACGGCGTTCTTCACGGGTTTCTTTGTACGAAATACCATCGTCCGTTGAGCTCCCAGGCTCACATTAGCAATGAAAGTAGTAGGAATGATATCCAATGTTTTGTCACTATGCTCGGAAATATTATCATTCCCATCTCGATAGAATTGGATCAGTACATGGTTCAGAGAATGACCAAGTCTTTTCTCAACTATCTTCTTGACAGTTTCAACTGTGGGTGAAAATGATAGGAGAGCAGGCGATTCATCTGCCGGGTGACGATATATCGGAGTACTGCCATCTTCTTCAATTTGACCCTGAACCGCTACAAGCCTCGGTACCTCACCACCTTGATGGCCCATCTTCTGCCAAAGGACCTCGTCCCGAATTTTCTCGAAAATCCCGCTTGCCAACGTATCGGGCAGAAGGTTTTGGATGACGGTTGTATCACCTTCACAAATGGCAGCCCTATCGGTCAATGCATTATCTTCGTCTTTTGGCATCTCCTCAAGAGATTTCTTCGTTGATGAAGGTTTTAGTTGGAGTTCCTCCTTCTCGATTGCCGGGTACTTTGAACTAGGCAGAGTCACTTCAGCTAGGTTTGGGGAATTTGACGAGTCAGGCGACGGAATTTTTGAAGATGCTAGACTGCGTTGCTTTGATGGGATAGAGGGGTCTTCTACTTCCACAGGCTTTGCAGTGTGTCTACGTGATTTCACTTTCGACTTAACCTTTTCTCTCTTTTTAGCTTCTGCTTCCAGCTCTGCTGGTGGTTTCGCTCGTCGAATTTGTGATCGCAGGAATTGACTTGTGGTTTCGAAATCGTCTTCGGTGGCTACCGTCGATGGGGCTTTGACGGTGGTGACTTGCGGGTCTTCTGCTTCTAGCTTTAAGTTCCCCATTAGATTTTCAATCCCAGTATTTCGAGATTCTTTTGGCTGTGGCTCTCTAGGTTTAGGACGAGATTTCTTACTGGAAGTCGTTCTCCTTTCAGCGACCTTCTTTTGCTTCTGTAAGCTATCAATGAGGTCCTCGCTGCTTATGACATCGCATCCCGTGTAGGCTCTGAGCTGACGTAAAGCTTCCTCATGTCTAGCTTTACTCCTGTACCCCAGACAATCCTCAATGATGGTTATGGCATAACCGTGGCGGGCAGCGTCCATTGCCGTGGCAAATACACTGACATTCGTAAGAGCCCCAGCAATGTAAATCTCTGTCACAAACTTGCCCCTTAGTTTTTGGACTAGACTGCCATCCTTGAATGCGGAATAGTATGTTTTGTTGAATACCAAGTCTTTCGTAGAGATGGGCGCAAACGCATCTGAAATGGCTGAACCTCTCGAATTGGGTTTTAGCATGCGTGATTTGCCTTCGCATTGGACTGTCAAAAAAGCTTCTGCTGCATCCCCCTCACTGCTAGCTACCGAAGGCTTGCTTTCTTCATTGGACACGGGCTCACTTTCGGGTGTCACTTTGTCGCGTCGATGTCGTAGAAGCTCGTTATCCGTTATGATGGCCTCGCTATCATTGTGCGGTTGATTGACTATCCTCGAAATCCCCTCTGTGGAAATGCTGCATATCCATATTATGTCACCAGAAGGACGGAACGGCTCGATGAGATTCTTTATATTGTCGACATAGCTCGGGGGGGTTTCGACCGGCAGCAGGCTCTCTTCTCCTATAAAATCGTTCTGCAGATCTAGGAGTAGTAGGGCCTGGCGCGTTCGTATGAACGGTATGGTTTGTTCGTCAATTTCAAACATTTGGGGCAACCTATGATGGATATCAACCAAAGTGTTTTCAGACGAATCGACTTTGCTGGATATAGAAGATTTAAAGATTGGCACTCTGTGCTACGGGCTGCACGACTCTATATGTGGTGTTTACTAGCTAAGAAATATCCATTGCTTACATTGGTCATTATTCGGAAAGACCACCAAGAGGTAGGAGCAACGTCGATGCGTATGTAGCACCGCATGATGCTGTAAGATTCCGTAGGCAACCAACACTGCAAATAATATGCACGGATCTGGTTTCAATCGAATAACAGACAATGTGACATTGGGTAGTACATAGGCGAATGCGAGCGACGGAATCCTCTTGGTTAGTCGATACGATGGAAAATGTTATTGTTGTATGTGGATGGTTTGGATCTTGACATTTAGAGTTAGAGTGGCTCGAGTGGAAATGGAATGTTTCTGTTCTGATAGAAGAAAAAAGAGGATAAGGAACACGGGCCCCGGCAATGATGACAAGCTAATCCTGTTCCGATCATTTTACCAACATTTTGGTGAGTGATGAGAATATATAATATTATATACTCGTACTGGGTAGGTGGTTAAGACATGATATATCTACTAGGTATCCATCTCACAGACATGGGTGACACATGGTTAGAGTGAAAAGTAGGGAAGAAGGAGTGAGGAAAGAAGTCAATTGATTGGGGTCTTGTCTTATTTTTCCTTCTTGATGGATCGATATTGTCTTGGCGTACGAGCGTCCACAATTAGATTGATTGACCGTTGAGAAAAGAGTTAACCGTTGATCTTCCCTCCCGGCCCCCTTCTCCCCTCCACTTCCCCCTTCCCTTCCCTTTCCTTCCCTTCCCTCCCCTCCCCTTCCCTTTGACAGTGGGCTAGGAGAATAAGCTAAGAGCCCTATCTACTAGGTCCTATCTACTAGGTCTTATCTAGTCCTATCTGTAGACAGTTAGACACTAGTAAAATGACCTCAAACGCTCAACCCTCGCAACTTAGCGAGCATAGCCCTTTTCAACATCGGCCTTTTTCTTTGGCTTCTTATTTTTCCTGCAGATCAACGCATATGGAATGGAATCCCATGTTGCATATCACTATTATCATGCCACTCGCATCTCTCACCTCTAGCCATTGACCAACGGTACGAAGAACGCACACACCGAAACATGTACTACAGCATATAAGCAAGTTACATAACCCGAAACGGTACTCAGCCCACGAATCAAATCGTCTTGTGAATTAATAATCTACACCCTCTCTCCGTAAATCCATTCACCGTCATACAGACTTCCGTCAAACCGTGGGATTTCACACATTCCTTTGCACGAACGAGCATTGTAGTCTGTACGTTCGTAAGGAATAATCTCGGAGTCCACGTAGCGGTGATCACAAGTGAAAATAACGGGGTCTGATTTGATACAACAGGGGGGAATTTGTCCGATGGAATAAAGCGAAGCGCCAAGAGAAACCTTTCGATGATACCGTTAAACCATCCATGTATCTGATAGGGGGGCGGGGAGAGGAGACATCAGAGAATATTGATTGGTTTCGTATTGTGAAGTTTGTGTTTTCTTGCATTGCACCGGAATCCATTTCCTTTGCATTACAATACGCACTTCTCTTGCGCACGTAGCTTGTAGGTACCTACCGAGCTACCTAGGTATAGTAGTCACTTTACACGAAAAATCGTCTTCCAAAGCAAGGTGTTTTGTATGTATGACGGATGTCTAATGGAAAAAGAAACACCCGGTCAACCAACGCTACATTGTATTTCTCTTCTCCCTCCCGTTCTCGTTCTTCTGGTCCCACAACTCGATGATACCTACTCCCCAGGTAGCTAGGTAGCTAGAGCTTGAGCGTTGATAAACCGTTGAGAGATCAAGAAAACCCCCTTCGACACAGCCATCGGAAGTTTTTAACTAATCATCCAAGACTCATTTGATAGATGATAGTTAAAAAACCCCCCACAAATTAAAAAAAAAATTAACAAAAAAACAAAAAAAAACAAAAAAAAACAAAAAAAAACCTTGCACTTACCGTCTTACACTGAAGCATCATATGATCAATCATCAAGATTTCATCGAAACAATTCCATTATGATCTTCGCGCTACTGCAGTGCTGTTGTCGATCTACCTGCAGCTTGAGTTACGGGGCTCGAGCGGGGGGGAAAGTGTGGTGTGGATGATACTGGACATATTAACTTTTGAACATATTGGCTCATTTGCATGAAGCTTCGACAGGCACAAATGCTTATTATTGCCAACTGTCAAACCTACTCAGCCGTCCACTTGCATATATCTCGTCGGCTATCTTCTGACAATCGATTGATATGGAAATATTTACCTCGTTTAACAATTAGACTTGACAAGCTTGAAGGGCCAGGATGGTTGGTTGAGTGTGTTACGGGGAAATAAACTATCGCCAACATTCAGAGTTTACAAAGTATTCATCCCAAAAGCCTCACATTCACATGGACAATATTCCTCGCAACTCTTACCTGCAGAGTCGTATTCCGGGACCAACCGGCTCAAAGGGGACCTTGAATGGCCAGATGTGAGGTTGCAGTGGAAGGAAGTTACTATTATGCTTTAAGTTTGGCATATCACTTGATATCGACATGAATTTTATATCAATTATCAATTCTCTTGGCTGAATTTCTCGACTTGAGTTGTCAAACTTCTTCCTCGATAAAGAGGGGGACGAGCTTGAAAAGCTACCCCGCGAAAAGACGGAAAGTATGATCACGTGCTATCGAGCTTCGAGATACCGAGGCTCGGTGATGTTGAGGTCAAGTTGGCCGACCATCCATCTCAAGCTTCAGTATTACAGTTGTAATTCACAGAGAGCTTATTGACTTACAACACTTATCTTTAAAATTTCATACCTAGAAACTTACATCTATCTGTACCAATCTTCTGTAGAAGTATATCCTACAAGTTAGTGACTTGATTAGCAATCCAATCAGCAATTCAAAACACAAGCAAGCCGCAGAAGCCTGCCCATTGCCCTCCCCCAAACAAACAAAATGGCCTCTTCCAACCCTACCTACAAATACTTTCTCGTCACATACCCAGCACCATACATAGCACATGTGCAAATCAACCGTCCCGAGAAACTCAATGCCTTTTTCGAAGCAATGGTAAGGCGCCCCTTATCCACAACCCGCACTACCTTAATCATTCGCTAACCCCTAAATCTAGTGGCTTGAATTCCGCACCATTTTCGACACCCTCTCCTATTCTCCCGATGTCCGCTCCATCATATTATCCGGCGCCGGCGAACGCGCATTCTCAGCTGGTTTGGATGTAGAAGCCGCCGCACAAGATGGCGTTTTAGCCGAAAAAGAAGGAAGATCTACAGATGTAGCGCGAACAGCGCAAGCTATCAAACGACACGTCGAAGAATTCCAAGCTTGTATAAGCAGTGTTGAGAAATGCGAGAAACGTATGTTTTCCCTCCCCCATTGTCTCCTTTCTTGAGATGAAAGTGGATTCAATCTAATCGCATCAAATAGCCGTGATCTGTGTTCTGCACGGCTACTCCCTTGGTCTCTCAATCGATATATCCACCTGCGCCGATATCCGCATCTGCACCTCGGACGTCAAGATGGCCGTGAAGGAAGTGGACATCGGACTCGCCGCCGATATTGGAACTCTCTCCCGCCTTCCCAAGGTCGTCGGTTCTTTCAGCTGGGTCAAAGACGTATGTCTCTCTGCCCGCGTCTTCGGAGCTGAAGAGGCGCTGCGAGTAGGTTTTGTGACGTACGTTGAGCCTTCAAAGCAAAATGCTATCGACAAAGCGCTCAGTATTGCGAAATTGTTGGCGGAAAAAAGTCCAGTGGCAGTGCAGGGTACGAAGGAACTTTTGAATCACGCGAGGGACAATCGATTGGCGGATAGTCTGAGGTACACGGGGGTTTGGAACAGTGCGGCGATCCAAACGAAGGATGTTAAGGATGCGATGTTGAGTGGATTACAGAAGAGAAAACCTACTTTTGAGAAACTTTGAGAGGGGTTGGAGGACAACGGATCACAATAATTTGAAAATATCAAATTTAGGAACAAGGCGGTTGAAATCTTCCACTTCTGAACTTCCCGTGCGGCGTTGCTACACCAAAAAGATGGATATATAACGCAGCACTCAGACCTGCAAGATAGCACACGGGAAACAAACCTCCAATATATGAGCTCTCAGATGATAGTTCAAAGAAGCAAGCAAGAAAGAGATATACTCAAAAGCACACTACCTACATAGACTTATCCAATCTCATATTCACATACCGCAAAGCTACAACGCTATAGAATCTTCCCAAAATCAAATGCATAGATAGCATCACAGTATTGAGACCATTCCATCCATCCATCGCATCCTCTCCTTTCTCCAGCGGTCAATCACTCTTCTCATTTCACCACCGTTTCTTCTCCTATTCCTCACACAAACTCCCTCTCCTCCCTCTTCTCCCTCTCACCCCAAACCCTCACAAGACAAGTTTAAACAAACCTCCTCACCCACTCTCCATATCTTATCACACTCTTATTCACATTCCCATCCCCCCTTCCCCATCCCGCATTCACCAGCACCCAAACAATCTAACAAAATCAATCTCATTCATCTCTCTAGTCTCATTAATCTCTCTAGTCTCACTAATCTCACTACCTAATCTCTCCCAAATTGGTTCCATTTTCTTATGAGCTCTAGTATTAGCTCCAAAATTAACTCTTTCAGCCACTGCAGGTGGTGTTTCAAAGACCTTGGGAACTCTCAGTTTTTCTCTCTCTCTAATTTTCAAGAATGATTCCCTTGCCCATGCACAACTATGATACTCCTTCTTTTGACATGGTTTTACCTACCTGTCTGTTCTTGTTTATCCAGAATATCTTTAGAGATGCCATTATTATCAAACTTCTTTCTTTATTGCTTGCCTGTCTTTTGGTTCACCATTATACTTCCCAGGTTGCTTGTGTCAAGACTCCGGTGATATCGCTCCGTTTTCTATATCCAAGAAAGCCAAGAGCAGATATATATCCTTGTCAAAAAAAAAGCCGCACAACAAAGTCGCCAAGTCTCGAAACTCAACACTCTTATGATATAAATCAGCTTTCGATTTTATCTCAAATATCTAGGTACTAAGTAGCTATCTTGTTTGAAATCCCAAATCGCAGCGACATGTTTTTAATTCCGGCCTGTCCTATTATAACAACCATGTGCTTTCATCGCTTTTTTGATGGTATCCTTGCCTAATCGAGCACAAGTATCCATGAATGATCGCAACTAATGAAGAAAAAAAGAGAATCTGAGCCAATACTACGGTAGCACCAGCCTATTTACCTGCGTTCAACAACAGAGTGTTCTTGAACTTCTTCATTGGAAATCCGAAGCTCATCCCATCACGCCAAAGAGTAAGTGAGACAAGCAAGCATCTTTTCTTGAGAGAAGTTGAACAAACTTGTCATCTACCAACCGCCGTCGCCTGCAGCCTCTTGACCACCACCAGTAGCCCAGTTGTGATCATCACCACCAGCCGCAGGAGCAGAATAGTCATCGTTAGCTGCATCGCCACCTCCATAGTCGCCGCTATCAGCTGTGGCATCACCACCACCGTAGCCGTTGACATCGCCAGCGTCCTCCTCAGCAATTGGCTCCTTGCAGCGAACCTTAGTGTGACCCACTAATCTATGTCAGTACATCGCAAAGAACAAAGACCAGAGGGATGCGAAGATTTACTTACTCTGCTTGCAGTTCTGGCATTGAACGCGAGAATAGTCACGAGGCTTTGGGCATTCCTTACCGGTATGTCCCTGTTCATGTCAGTAGTCTTTTCCAAATTAGATAAAAGGAGATTAAAGGTATTTAACGAACCTCTGCGTCACAGTTGCGACAGATCATGACACGCTCATTTGTACAATCCTTGGCTATAAGCAAGAAAATCAGCGAATTGGATAACTATTAATAGATTGCTACATGACTTACCTCTATGACCAGGTTGATTGCAATTTCTGCAGAGACCGCCATCGCCTCCACCGCCGGTTGGGCAGTCACGAGAGAAATGACCAACTGTGTTTTTTTCAATAAGATCAGAATATAAGGAGGTTGAAGTACTTACTCTCATTGCAATTCTTGCATTCAACACCCTCGGCGGAGCGTGGCTCTGGGCCTAAGTTCGATGTCAGCCTGCGTTATGAAACCCTAGAATATCGCCGAACTTACACTCCTTAGAAACTATGACCAGACTTCTTGCAGTTGCGACAAGCGAACTTATCCTCACGAGGAATTGGGCAATCACGAACACGATGGCCACTACTCCAAAGTTAGTATGCTTAAAGGAATGCCAGTGTAAGGAAACTTGCATTTCATTGCAGTTGAAACACTGAACTTGAACACGTTCACCTTCAACTCGCTCTTCGGTGCAATGCTTTACGGTATGACCAAGCTCATTGCAGCGGGAACAGAGAGGAATGCCACGATCAACAGGCTCTCCAGCATTGGCAAGTCGCTCCAAATTTTCCTCCGGGGTAGCTGGCCAGCTCTCCTTCTCTTTTGGACGACTGTGTTTACTCGACTTGCGCCAAGAAACAGAAAACTTGCGATCAAGGTTGCCCTGCAAGTCCATGTTGGTGTAGGTCTGGTTGAGTTCCTTCTCCATGGCAATGAGATAGATGGGGATGTTTTGAGTACGGAATGCATTTCTCCAATTGAACATAGGTAGCATCTGGAGAAGCCTTGATGTATTTCATGATCTCATCCTTCATGTCGTCGAAGTCACCTTCTTGAGATTGCTTGATAAGATTCTCCCAAGCAACTTCAGCTGCGACATCTTCGACGTCGTTGCGCTCGATCTTGCGAGGATTCTTACACTCAAGGATTGAATGGCCTGCAATAAAAGTCAGCCTCAGTGAAAGTGTTTAAGAGGTATTAAATTTGAACCTACCTTCCTCCTTACAATTGTTGCAAAGCTTGGGTGGAGCAGAAGGGCACTCAGATGCGCGATGACCCGATTGCTCACAGATGCGACAAGTGCCGGTGAACTCACGAGCAACTGCGGGATTAGTGCATTCTGCCTTTGTGTGTCCTTCCTCGCCACAGTTGTAGCATGGACGTGCCTTCGCAGGTTGTGTGCATTCGGCCTTGGAGTGACTGCCGGAAAGTGAGTTAGCGGAGTAACGAAAAACTGAAACATTAGAAATAATACCCTTCTTCACCACAGTTGAAGCAGCCTCCACTGCGACCACCACCACCGCCTCCATTTTCCTCACCACCACCATATCCGCCATGGTCGTTACCGGCGTCATCATTGAATTCATCTGCTGCATGATGTTCGGAAGAACCAGTTGCAGGAGAGTCATCCCACTCTCCATCACCACTGACTACTGCAGTATCTCCCGTGCCCCAATCATTGCCACCGGCAGGAGTCTCCCAAGACATTTTGAAGGACTTGAGTGTTGCAAAGATTTGATTTTGATCTGTGCCAAAAAAAATTAGTCGTGTGTTAAGAAAAATGGTAAAGGGTGAAAAAATGCGCAAGATATACCAATGTATTGCTCCAACTCAAAAGCCTTTTTAAAGTTGGTGTCAAGAAGTAAATCGAGAGGACAAGTAATAATCAAAGAGCTTAAGAAGTCAAGCTGATAAGCAAGACCACACAAGTGCACGCGAAAGGAGTGTTAATAAGAAGAGAGAGGAGGGAGACGGAAAACTTTGTCGTTGTGAAGGAAAGAAAGATTGAGAGGATGAAGGCAAACACTCAAAAGGTGGCGTCCAACTCAAGTGAATTGGCTCCCAATCAAGAAAGTGCGACTTTGATTTTCCCCTCTTCCCAATCAATCGATCTTAGGCATCTTCAAGTGAGTACGCACTTAAGAGATCGTTGATTGCGTTGATTGAAAATATAAGAGGGGAATTTCAACAAGTCAAAAGTGGCTTTGAAGTGTGCTTTTTGAGTGAATTTGAAAGGAGAAAGGAAGGAAGGAGATGGAGATGATGTTGGCGATTGTGGAGTTTTGAGAAAAGGAAAAACTGAGATCGAGAAAAAGATGCTCGCAATGAGAGGAACACATGCTTGAAAGTATATTGGATGTATAAAAGAAAGGATACATGAAGTTCTTGTATGTGTTTGTGGGAACGCGACGTGAAAGTTTTCTGTTTAAAGAAGGAAATATTGGAGAGATGATGACTTACTCACAGAGTTTTGGATTGAATTAACAGATACGAAGATCTTGAAGGACTCTGCGATCTCAATATCAGTTAAGGAAGGAAGTATCTTGATGAATTCCTTTTGTTTGGATGGAAAAAGAGAAATTTGAAGAAGTTGTTGTTGTGGGAAAGAAGGAAGAAGAAAGTGCAAAGAAGGGGAGCAGACGCTTTACTTAAAAAGGCGGCGGGCTTCTAGCGAATGTGATCCCAATCTCTTCCAATCAGAGGTTCAGATAAATATCAGAAAGGAAGCTAGTCATGATCTTTCAATTCTTATTCAAAATTACAACAATCAAGAAGTTGATCCCTGCAAGAATATTGACGGGGTATACCCCGAGTCAAAGTTGTGATGAGATTCTACCATACATCATGAAAATGAAACTCAAGAATGACACTTGAAAGTCTTTGTGGCCCCCTTCATTATTGAAAGTCCCCTTACTTTTTCGGTTCGAGAGCCAATGAGCATCTTCGTCAAATGTATGATATATTTCAGACATACCACTTCACCAGCACTGTGTTTGAGCACTTATCATTGGGTTTTACTTAGATTGTATTGAATGTTTGGACCTCTACAAAGATACATAGAAGACTTCCTTTTACCTTTCTGTTCTTCCACCCTTCTTCCACCGGTGTAATTAATCAGATGAGATTTTGTCAACAGACAAGTTTCATTGCTTGAGTACCTACTTAAAAGGATTGTTTGACAAGACACCTATAAAGTTGTTCTGACCGCAATCTGCATCGTTACAGAACTACAATTGGATTGTACCTTTTAAGACAGCATATCAAGAAGTCTCAACCTTTGATGCCTCCCCTTCTCATTATCCTGTCACTTCGCAGGCTTACCTTACTATTCAAGTAGAACAAAGCCTGTTAACAGGATGTCATAGGAACGAGGTATAAGGGATACCGCTGGGATGAGATGAAAGAGTCTTCATGCTCTAGAACGCAGCAAGTATCCTCAATTTTGGAATGTCAAACAAACGGTGCAGTACTTATTACGCGGAAAAGTTTAAGTTACAAAATTTGATCCTAGGAACTACCAATTGAATCTAAAGGCTTACCTCAGTACTATTACTCGAGGTAATTATAAGATTTTAAACAACTCTTGATGATAAATTGACGCCTCATCTGCTTCCTCGCCATTCAAGAAAGAGATTCTAACACTGTCATAGCAGTAGTACAGAAATCAAACTAGACTTCAACACTATTTCCTACATCTCTTTGCATACAAATGAGTTCCCTACTGATTCTTCTAAATAGAATGCGTAATGATCGACTTTGCCTGTCTAAAGTTGACGCATTCTATCAGCGTCGTTGAAATTTTCCTCCTCGCTCCTCGCTTGCTTACGATCCCCGAATGTGGAAACATGAGGACATAGCGAGGAATTGCGAGGGACTGCGGGGAGCTGGAACCTGACTACATTACTAAATATTATTATATGTGCTCAGCAGATACTCTAAGTCTTGTCGGCTTATAACAACGAACAATCCGCTGGTGATGTTGTGCAGCAGATCTCTTTCTGTAGTCTACCCACCACGACAGTTTCCGGTCAGTATAGGGTGACCATGGGTTGATTGTGAGTTCGTCGGACGTTCATCGAGGTTAAAAGAAGGTTTTCGACCAATTCCGACGCCGTTTCCTGAGATATGTGGAGCTCATGACTAAGATTGGTTCTTCTGTCACATTGGCTCGATTGGCTACCTATTAGTTCAACGGCGTCGGTGCATGTTCATCCGAGCTACCTGACGGCTAAAGCAGAATCTCGACGCCCAAAAACTGATGACCTTCATGAATTGATCAGAATGATAGTATCTAGGTAGCCATTGATAATTACCTAGGCTCGGAGCATCCCACTCTTCGGATAGCGATAAGCAATTGGACCTAGGTAAGTTTTGATATTTAACAATGAGAGACCCCCGCTTCGACATGCCCCCGCTATATCACGACATCTTCGAAGGGTAAATATTTTCTGCAGATTGGATTCTGTTTCTTTACACCTTGAAGCATCTCCAAGAATCTCTCAATTCCTCTCTCGCACTTTCTATTTTTCCGAAGAAATAACAAAATCATCCTTCAAAATGGTGCCAGTTCCAGAAGACCTCCCAGAGATGGAATACAGATACCTAGGCCCATCTGGTCTCCAGGTATCTGCCATCGCTCTTGGTGGTTGGCTCACATATGGTGGCCATGTTGAAAAAGGTATAGCTTCTCAACTTCTTTGGGCTCATTGCAGAATTAACATACATTAGAAAACACATTTGCATGCATGAAAGCTGCCTATGATGCTGGGGTCAACTTCTTTGATTGTGCTGAAGGTTATGCTGGAGGGGAGTCTGAAAGGGTAATGGGTGAGGCCATCAAAAGATTTGGATGGAAAAGAAATGATCTTGTTATCTCGACAAAAGTACCTCTCCATACCCCTACATTTTTACCCCATAAGCTTACAAGAGGCAAAATAGATTTACTGGGTCAAGCCAATGGCGAGAAACTTGTCAATAACATCGGTCTCTCCCGCAAACGTATTATCGAAGGCACTCACCTCGCTCTCGAACGTCTCCAATTGGAATATGTAGATCTCATCTATGCTCACCGACCGGACCGTGCTTGTCCTATGGAAGAGACCGTCCGGGCATTCAACCACCTCATCAACACCGGCAAAGCATTCTACTGGGGAACATCCGAAGTAAGCCCCACAACCCCTCAAAGTTAATTTCCATTCCACCCTCAGAACTAACCCCCCCATAGTGGACCGCTGCCGAAATCGCCTCCGCCCACTCCGTCGCCCAACGCCTCAACCTCATCGCCCCCATAATGGAACAACCACAATACAACCTCCTCGCGCGCCAAAAAGTCGAGGGCGAATTCCTCCCCCTCTACAACGAATTCGGTCTCGGTCTAACCACCTTTTCCCCTCTCAAATTCGGATTCTTGACCGGGAAATACAACACCGGTATTCCTTCCGATTCCCGTCTTGGAACATCCAAAGACGCTTTCGCCGACCGCATGAGAGCCAAATCCGGCGACGATTCCTGGAAAGAAGATATTGCCGCCGTCGAAAAACTCATGCCTATTGCGGAAAAACTCAATATTAGCATGGCGAATTTGGCCATGAGTTGGGTGTTGAAGAATGAGAGGGTCAGTAGTGCGATTACCGGCGCCAGTAAGCCGGAACAGATATTTGAGAGTGTCAGAGCGTTGAAGATTAGAGAGAAATTGACCCCAGAGATTATGAAAGAGATTGATGATGTTTTGGGTAATAAACCAGAGCCATTGGCTAAGAGATATGTTTAGATCTATCCATGGGAAGGTTAGGCTGGGAATTTATAAAAGTTACTAGGTATATAGATGATGATGAAGGTGTGGGAACGATAGATAGCGATATCTGATACTACATATTTTCTCTGTTTCCCGCGTAGACACAAAGGTTTGAATAAATATGAATTGCTCAGATAAAATCAAATAAATCTCTAGGATTTATGGTATTGCCTATTTCACATGTCATTCGGCTTGAGTGACAAAAACTACCAAAATATGTGCAAGAAGTTGCGAATCGACTTAACTTGGCCATCTCCTCCATTTCGACTCCAAATCATGTCGTATTGCTTCATTACTTTCACCACTCTCGCATCCTGCAGATACAACCATACAGATCAATAATTATACACCACCAAAATCTCTCCAGCAAAACTCATCTTTTTTCACCCCCTGAGATAAATCAAAACTCCCCATCAAAATCTTCCATCCACCCATTTATTTCTTGCCCTTCTTTGCACTAGCACTCGCCTTCTTGGCTGGCTTCTTCTTGGGCTTCTCCTCTTCCTCATCTTCGTCATCAATCATACTATCATCTTCATTACTCTTAGCCTTCTTCTTCGCTGGCTTCTTGGCCGGCTTCTTCTTAGGCTGCTTAATATATTTATCCTTTTTCAAATCGGCCTCTTCATCGTCATCGACTGGTTCTGCAATGACTTCTCCGTCATCTTCTTCCTCGAATGCTTCTTCCAAATCTGGTTTTACGGCAGCGACCTTGGCGGGCTGGAAGACGTTACTTGCCTTCATAAATGGAACAGGATGAGAACGTGCGTTATAGCTTTTGGTTCGTTAGTATTGTTAAATTTGAGAAGGATTAGTGAAGACTTACGATCTTGTAAAATTGGCTTTAGTTTGGGTTTCCAATTTGATACTTTCCATATCTTGTTCTCCAACACCCAGTTCCATGATATAGTCCCAGTCCTCCCTGGTCAAGAAATAACTGTCCATGAGATCGATCACATCTTCCACAGAATCTCTGCCCTCGACATCGAGTCGGCGAATGAGTTTGTCCCAGAGAACGGGTAAATATTGTTGACGAATTTCATGACGGTCTCCAGAAGATCGCAGTCGCATGTGTGATTGGATTTCTTTCACATAACGAGATAGCTTTCCATACTTGCTATTGTTACCAAGCCAAGATGTAAAGTTGGTTCTTCCGATCATCGAACCAGATATAAAGCTTGATGGTCGAACTGCACTGAAGACTGCGTGTGTAGGCATAAGAGACCATTGTTGTTGGGACCCGTGAATCATTCGATCAACTAAGTCACCATCGCTAATGCTCTCTGCTGCTTGGTCTACAAGTTGAAGTACTTTGAGTCTGTGCTCTTTAGGTGTATCGGAGCTGACGGCTAGTTGTGGCCTGGTATTCAGGTAGTTTTCTTGAATCATCAAGGGTGTAAATTCATGATCGTTGAAGTAAAGCTCGATCTTGTCGTTTAAGGTAGATTTGCTAGCAGGAGAAAACATGTGACCACCGAGGAGCTGACTAGTGATGTCCCATGGCTTAAGAACAACATGCTTTTCCCAAGCTTTTGACATTTCCTTGCCTTGGTCAAAATTCATGGCTGTTTGATCAAGTTTGACTGTAGATATCATATTGATGATCTGTCGGATATCCTTATTGCTGCCCTCGATAAGAGCATCGATGACTTGAACCGGGAGCTTCATACCTTCTCGATGACAGATGGTAGCGATACGTGAACGTACCATATCAACCGTTGGTCTCCTGAATGGCATGTCGAATGTCACGAAATCAAATGGCTTCATTTTCGGAAGCTTGCGGTCATTACAGATCAATATCATGGGGATATCGGTCGTCTTGCAGATTTTGGCAAGAGCCCCTACACCACCTCGATCTCCAGATGACATACCATCAACTTCATCCATGATCAGGACCAATTTCTTCTTAGTCTTATCGACATCTTTCCCGTCGCCTGCGAAATAACCTAGAACGGAAGTGTTGTTCAGTACTTCACTTAGCCCAGTTTCAACAAGTTTTTTGCTTCGAACATCACTAGCGTTTCTCTCTAGTATATCATAACCAGCAAGTTTGGCAGCCAAATGGGCCGCAGTCGTTTTTCCGATGCCTGGCGGACCATGAATAATGATGGCTCTGTAACCTCCAAGCCCATCCGCACCCCTCTTTTGAAAATTATACTTGTGCGCAGTTTCCCAGCCCTTAAGCCAAGCCTGGATCTTTTCAACTTGACCTTTATTACCACAAATTTGATTCATTTGCGTTGGTGCATACTTTGTAGTCCACAATTGCGATGACGTTGGCACTATCGCTTTGCGGGGAGCTGCTGGTATGGATGATTTTCCTTTTGCTGCAGCAAGCTTTTGAGCCTCCTTTTCCGCTTTCTCCATCTCCGCAGCCTTTATCCGCTCCTCTCTATCCATCTCAGCCGCGTCTTCTAGGATCTTCTTTTCTTCAGCTGCTTTCTTTTCGTTGTTCTTCTCCGCAGCCTTTCCGTCGCCACCATTGGCAGGCAGCGTTCTTAAAAGATGAAATAGACCATCTTCGTCAATGGTCTTAATTTTTAAAGTACGTATCTTTCTAAGTTTACTCGGGCCAGCATCCTTTCCAAGTACGACGAAGTTTGTTTTGCTGCTTGGTGCACCGGTGATTTTGCCTCCATATCGCTTGACGAGCTCTATTCCCTCATCTCTTGAGATTGTCTCAAGCATTCCCGTAAAGACAAATGTCAAACCTACCAGACAGTTTTCAGCACCTTCAGGAATTTCCGCACAACCTGCAGCTGGGCCTGAGTTGCCACTGCCTCCACCAGCTCGCCAGTCAAACTTGGCACTGTCATCTATCGGAGGAGGGGTTGGGGCTCGAATTGTTGGAACGCTGTCTAGTATTGCCTGTATACTCGAGCTCTCTGGAGCAGATGCTTTCTTGGGCGGGGCGCGAGGTTTTTTGGCGGGTGGTGGCTTTGAACTCTTGCTATTAGAGGGTTTCTTAGCAGGAGCAACGTCTTCTTCGTCCTCGGATTCCAAATCAATAGATTTACGCTTCTTGCCATTCACAGCAGAACTTTTCCCTAGCTTCTCAACTATCATCATGTCGTCGTCATCGTCGTTATCAGGCACAACAAAAACGTCTTCATCGCCTACATCTTTCATTTTGATGTCCTTATCCTTTGTGGTTGGCGTAGATTTCGACTTTGACATAACTCTCTTGGGTTTTGGTAGGACCTCTTCGTCGCTGTCAATTTCGATATAACCATCATCCTTTCGCTTGCCTGTCTTTTTTGCATCTGCTGCAAATATATCATCGTCTTCATCGAAGTCATCATCATCTTCGATCACTTTGTATGTTGTAGACGCCGTTTTCCGAGTAGAAGATCGAACATTCGCTTCAGCTGGCGGTAGTTTTGCCTTTGCAGGAGTCGATGTTACTTGTTTAGCTTTGGGTTTACTGCTCGAAGCAAAGAAGTCATCCGCGGTCGTTTCCTTTCCTTCGGGCTCTTCATTTTTTCTAAATTATCAAGTCAACAATGTAAAAAGAGGAGGAACTGGGCAATCAAACATTGATTTCTTAGGCGCAGCTTTTTTGGGTTCGGGCTTTTTTGGCCTGGAAGACTTTAGTAGGAGCTTAGCAGGATTGCTTTGAGAAGCATACAATGGTTCTTCGTCATCTTCGCTATCTTCAATAACCTTGCGACTTTCTATAGTATATTAGTATCATTCAATGACGCAAGAAATTTGAGCAACTTACTGCTCTTCTTTTTCTTAGAATCTTCCTCCTTCTTGTTCTCCTTTCCTCGAATGGGTGTAGCCGTAGAAGTTCCAGGTTTACCTCCAAAGAAGCTTCTAATATCCGCAGGCATACTGGGCGGATTTAGCATAGCTCTCCTTGAAAATACTACGAGTTTTACAGAAAACAAATTCGTTGATAGAAGCAATTGCTAGAAGAAAATGATGCTGTGAAGTACCTTGTATCTTTTTGGTTACCTACAGTACGGAATACGCGACGACCCGACGCGGAAGTAACGCGTTGCCACTTTAAATTGATTTCACCAAAAAATTACTGCTGCCTCAAATATTAGGTAAATATACTGAACCATCGAATTTGAGGATCTAGGATTTCTTTAGATTTGGTCGACAATAACGTCCATAGCCATCCACCATGAAGCCTCAAAGTTTGCAGAGCTTCACGGCTCAATTCGGGAGGCTTTCATTAGCCTCCAATACAATCCGACCTCTTGGTCCCATCCTAGCCCAAGCCTCAGCTTTCTCCGCACCTTCGAACCACACTTCCCCTCAGTCTCATCGCCCGTTTTCTAGCACAGCCGTCAATTCAGGCAATTGGCTTCTGCCTACTATGCCAGAAAAAAAGAGATCGCGGAAAGGAAGACCTCGTGTGCCGACAGGAGGATCAGCTAGAGGTACCACTTTAGTATGGGGGGAATATGGTTTGCGAATGTGCGATCATCATCGCCGTGTTAGTGCGCAGCAATTGAAGGTTGGAGAGGATGCTATTAAGGTCAGACTGAAGGGTATGAGATATCGATTGTATAAGAGAGTTGCTGCCCAAATTGGTGTATACAGCAGTGGTAACGAGGTAAGCACATGCGCCAGGGATAATTCTAAGATCACAAGAATAGAGGGCCTAATGGTTTCATAGGTTCGTCAAGGTAAAGGAAAAGGTTCCTTCGATCACTGGGCTTCCAGAATTGCTGTCAGCAAGATCATATTCGAGTTGAAGGGAGATGTACACGAACAGGTCGCAAGAGATGCGTTTCGATTAGCCGGTAATAAAATGCCAGGTCAGTAAACACCACCGCCGTATCCTTCTTATATGCTGATTTGTACAAACATAGGTCAATATGAGTTTGTCAAGAAGGGAGATCCTCCGGTTGTTGGAATCACAAAGTTAGATGGAGTCACCATGGAGGAATTGAAGAGACCAAGAAGAAAGATACCTTTGGACTCGATACCTGTCGGCTCTACTGCAGAAACTTTACCATCTAGTGTGTCGACGTCGACATCACCGGATGCGTAGGACGAGGAAATGTATATTGTATCATAGAGCGTATCGGCATTTCTAGCCCATAAATGAATGGAGATGTACAAAATCACACTCCAGATTGCAGTAAATGTTTGACCAGATTATGGGTAAGCGGTGTCATGTAGAGGTCTCAGTATACCGCCAGTTCCAGATTACTTACAACAGTCGACGTCCTCATTTCTAGATATGTCAAACGCGGCGCGGCCAAGGAGCTTCAGATAACAATATCAATACATATCGGTAACCCAGTGCTTCTCAAGAAATAGAACGACTGATTTGTAACTTCCGTTGTGATCTCAATGAAGATCATTTTTGACAGAGTAAAATACTCCATCCCAAAAGCAAAAGCATGCTTCAATAATCAATCGTATTGAACGCCACAAATCCCTGTCTGACGCCAGTGCCTTTAACCCAACGTGATTCTCTCCGCTCTATTCAGATTCCGATTCATCTTCAACCTGCGTCTCCTTGAGTGCCTAGGAGTAACCAAGTCAGCCACATCAAATAGACCATAAACGTAAAAGCATACAAACCTTTTCAGAAGTGCCTTCAAATGCACCAACTTGCTTTCTTGGATAAGCAAAGTTTCGTCATCTAGATCCTCAACGATATATTCATGATGCGACTCTGCATCTATCTTGACAATGAGAGATTTGATAGATGGATCGCACTCCACAAGGGTGCCTTGATTTCTTGTTAGAATGGTTACATTTATGTAATTCTAAGCAAACTTGTACCAGACAAAATGCGCACTTGCATCATCTGTCGGTGTATACTCTGAAGTGTTCTAGAACACTGGCTGGATGATCCAGGATCAAAGGGGCAGGCTAGTGAAAGCCTGGTAAATAACATGGTGAAAATTTGCTAAATACATACCTCTGATAGCTCGTGTCATGATGGATGTATGGAGCGCTTCCTTTTCTTTTGACTTTTGAGACGCCTGAATCCTCGTGGTATTTTATGTGCCTCTTTGATAAATGGTGAAGGTCTATTGATATAAAGCAAGTCGGCTGTGGATAGTGGCCCGTGCAGATTGAGATTCACCTTTCCTATTACGTATTTTTGGGACCAGAGCGCACCAGGAAGCTCCAGGCACTGCTAGTCTACAATATGAATTTACCAATTTCATAATGAAGCAGAATGAATATCTGTGTAGACAAATCTTAACATAGGATCGCTACTGTACCTACTGTCCTCCATGGTGCACTTTGGCAAATTCTAGGGTGTTCGAATTCAGGCTACATGGGGGCATTGTTCTACTCTTTCGCAACGAATAAATTTCTCTATAATCTACTAGATACGGTATAAAGCATTGAAAACAAATATCTGTACAAACCGTTTTCAATTTGGCATCAAGCACTCCTTACGATTTGGATGACCAGTCTGCTATGAGAATTTAATACCCCAGATTTACAAATCAAAGTATCCTGGGATGATGAATCTCGGTAATCTTCCCCCTTTATATGGTGTGCCAGTTATACCTACTTATAAAAGCTTAATGATTGCTGTGCATTCTTTCAACCAAAGTCATTGCATGTTTGAGGAATACTTGAGAGGATATTCCGGCAATCGTTCATACTACCAATGGATAATAATCTTCTGCGTTTTTCTTTTGGCGAGGACGAAAAGGAGGAAGGGTCTTTGGCTTTCATCTTATGATTATATGTTACTATGGTAATTTGAAACTGCTGCGAAAATTTATCGGAGCACAAAGTCAAAGCTTGATGAGTGCAAGAATTGAGACCTCAAAGGAGAGTCAGCTCGCTGCTGGACAAAATATTTGATCAGTTGACTCAGTCTATGCCAATGGTTATTCGATCTTGCATAGTTGCTGAAGTCTGAATGATCAAATACGTCTTCGACATCAGAGCCATATCGAGGCCCATCCTCCATAGGTATATCCGCAAAGTATCGCATCTTGTGTGGTCAAAATTATACCTTCTCGGTCACCTAACAATTTTGAAAGCCTTGTTTGAGACACCAGGTCTGCTATTGAATCTCTCATGCGGTCTGACAATCTAGTCTCCCACTGTTGATGTATTTGTTAAACATAAAATGGTGGATTTGTTGATACAAGGAAGAGTTTCAGCTCTAACATTATCCACCTTGTCACTCAGAGTGTAGGGCACTTGCCAAAGGGTGTACAACATACCCAGGGAAATATAGGTTATGAATGCTCGGCATCAACCTGCATTGATGATTCCCTGATGAATATTTCTATCGACAATTGAATAATCGATCATCAACAACCGGTCGTCGAAATCCAGCCTCCCAATCAGTACCCACAAAACATCGACAAAATCTTGAGTGTGCCCATTAGCCCCTCCTTGGAATCCTCCAACCCACAATGACCAAACCCCCCATTAGCCCCTCTGTATTCTCTTCACGGCCCCCTTTAGTCGTTTTCTTCTCTTTCCTGCTTTCACCGCGTGCCTAATTCCATGCATATATCCCGGCATTTCATCATCCCCAGCCTCACAACCCCATGTATGCACCGCCTTCACAAATTCACGCCCGACGAGCACAGCAGAGGTATCGCTATGCCAACTTCTTCGATCATTCTCTTCCTCTTTCACAACTTCTGTGACACATTGCTCGAGTTTGTATGTTATCGATCCGCTTTACATCTCTGTGTTTTAGCATTCGATGTTGAAACGTCTGGCTTCGCGATTGCCAAACTAAATTCGTGACGCTTGTCTTCCAATTTGTGGGCTTTGATACTTCTTCCACTTAGAATTTCAATAACAACGAGCCCTAATTTTGAATTTATAACTCCCTTATGTTGAAGCGTAGTATAAATTAAGATAATGAATGTTCTTTGCATATTCTATTTTATCTGGAAAAATAAAATCGGCACGGACAGAGCGGAACACGCGCCGAGCCCGTTATCCGAGAGCTGTTTCCCCAGCTCTCTTCCAATTGGTCAGTTTCAATACAAGCTTCCTAGGCCACCGTCACCGGCTATTTCGGAAAGGGAAAGACCAAGACACAAGGACAAACTGACACACTTTGAATCCATTTTGTCTAGAATGTACGGGGTAGCAACAGCAGAACGAGGCGTAAGTAAAGTGTTAGGATTTCTGGTACATATTGTATTACGTATCCTGGGTATCCGGATATCCTCACTCATTTCTTTATTGTTTATAGGATTCTTCTTGTCCTCCGCCAGAAAAGGTATACAAGCAAGGCTTACTCTCTTATCCATCCTTTGTTTTTACTCACCAGCGTGCTTGTTTGTTGTTGGAATTCGTACTCGTACAAAAGCGCGGGAATACCTTGCTTGCCACTGTTTGCGACTGCGAGAAAATAGCTCATACAATTGCAATTCTTATTAATACAAAAGAAGGTTTTGAATGACGAGTCTACCTTAACAAAGCTATACCCATATCTTTCCATCTTCCAGAGCGACTTGGTTCCTTTCTTACCCAAGATAATCATCAAATATATAGATATGCCATCAAGATATCAGAAAGATGTCTGCCAATGTATCAATCGTCATCGTTTCTCCTCAGTTCTCCTCGTGTTTTCGATAATCTTTCCCAAATTTTCCTGCGCACAGATCCCAAACGCAGTGTCAACGACATTCATCACTTCGGCTACCCCTCCTTCATCCACCCCTCACATCTTAAATGTCCGTCAACTCTCCTCCAGTACAGATCCTGACGGGGAAGAAAAATCAAGCCATGTCTACAACTACTATTTCGTCATAGTCGCTGTTCTCGTAGTCATCGTTTTCTTCCTTCTCCTATATATTACCCAGCGACGGAAACGAAAGGCACTACTCATACGACATAATGGTCAGACTGCTTTGGCCCGCGATGTACAATCGTTTGCAGATTTCAGAACGAGATTTGGACCGAGAAGAGCGGGAACGGGGCTGATGGGTATGACGATGGGATCGGTGGGCGCAAATAGAGAACGACAAGAGGGCTTGGATGAGAGGGGTGAGGCGCCCCCGGCTTATGTGGAGGGCGATAAACCGCCGAGTTTGAGGAGTGAGGATGGGGTTACTATGGTGGTTTCTCGTGAAGATCATGCCAATGAAAATGGCGCATCTAGTGTGCCAACTGTGGGGGCAGAGACTACCAACAATTCTATGGAACGAAATATGTCGGATGTAGAGTCGAGACTATCTGCGGAGCTTTCGCGACCTAGCGCTACGACTGCGAGTAATTCGGCAAGACGGACATCGATAGGGGGATCATCAACACCAATCACAAGCGCAGCAGATTCGAATGAAGAGGTGGGATTAAGGCCATTGAGTCGAAGTACATCGGCGCGTCCACCGTTAGGACCACCTACATATTCCGAGACCTATCTGGGTGGGCAACCTGATATAGCGAGACCACCTGCCGCGGTGACCCACAACTGATTTTATTCAGAAAGGAGATTGATGAGTGGGACTAGAACCTCATCTGAAATGCGATGTAGACAGTTTTAGTCGCAGGATGGCCGAATTAACATACGAACGATTTTTATATTGGTCATTTTATATGGGTTATCATTGAACGGCAGGCCGGCTAACGAGGATACGGATGGCACGGCTGGATTGGACGAGGTTCTGGGCATGGAATTGTATATGGATATCCACAGGATGTAAGGGCTTTGCGAAGGCGTATCTTTACGTTTATGAATATTAGTTATGAAGGATCATTGCGATGTGGTTATTTTGTAATACAGTCGGATCATAATAAATATGTATATCAAGGTCAAATACCCCCTATTCTAAAATTATTTTATGGTTAGAAGCCTAATAGTTGATGGTGATTTCATTCGCATATTCTAAATCCGCTTCATCTTTCTTCCTCTTTCGAGAATCTCACATCTCACATCTCACATCCCACATCTTACAGCCCCAACAAAACAAACAACTAACTCCCACACCAGTCCCCATAATCCAAAATTCAAACCCCAACACACACTACAGTAACAAATACATTCGACCCGCATACATAATTTCACAGCGCCTCCTATACTCCCATACTCCTACACAATTTTTTACTTTGAAAGATCCGTCAAGTCTGGGTAGTGGAGATTGAAACCCAGTGGAATAGATGGGATGGGTTGACTTGGGTTGAAAAGAGGCAAAGACAAGATAGGCGAATTAAGGAGGCGGGGAAGTGGATCTTTTCGGGTTATGTGTTTGGAAATGGATTTGGAAATTGTGGGTTGTCTTGGAAAGGTAGATAGATGGATGATGGGTTAGATGGGGAGGTTTGTGGGATATATATTGGTTATGTGAAGTAAGTGAAGTGAGGAGAAGTGGAAGTGGAAAGCAAGGGGTTGATTATTTTATTGGCTGTTGATTTTCAAAGAGGTAGGTTTTGGGTTTTGGGTTTTTGGAGACGGATTGGAATGGGATAGCGTGGTTGGGTGGAGTAGATGGATGGGTAGATGTTATCGGAGTTTTGGGTAGAGAATCGTTGGTAGTAAGGAGGGGGGTGTGTGTAGAGTGTATTTTTAATGTGTTTTGTTTAGATAGGGAAGATGGAGTAGTGAGTTATGAAGAATATGGGTGGGGTTTTACACCTAAGATAGGGTGTGTGGAAAACAGAAGTGATGCTGAAGAGTTCGTATATGTTTATTGTATGGCTGAGGTTATATGCCTTTCACTTCAGTACAGTCAGATGGAATCATATACATGTAGAAATTTAGGTAAATTCATTGAAGATTATGGAAATAGCTAATTCCTGGAAACGATTTGGTTGTTAGAGAAGAGTTTGTGTTGGATATAGGAATTACAGATGATGCTTCGCTACCCCTACCTGATAAATTCACAGAGTCGCATGTCCTTGTCATTATTAAAGTCCCACGTAAAATCTTGTGACCTAAGTTTGACCAGCCATTGCCCTTGCTTTTTGTTCCTATCTTGTCTAATAGAGGACATAGCTCTGC